GTATCCTCACTTTAACAGAAAGGGATTTTATAACTACAGCCAAAGTAGCATACAAATGAAAATAACATCCTGTAGATAATTTGGTTTTATAAGATTTCTTTAGAATTTCAGAGTTAAAATTAGTAGAAACAAAGCAGTTCAAAGCAGTTACACTGAGAAAGAAACTAGCCTCACTCACACAAATCCTAGAGTGGTAGAATACCAGTTTTTTGAAGAAGAAAAGAGTAAACAAAGTAAATCACCCAATTTGATTCGTTTCTCAGCATAATAAAGTGCTGAAGCAGCACAGTGGAGGATTTGCTGGACAATTTTCTACACTGAAACTGTCAATTCATTCTGAAGCTTAGCGCTGATGGATATTATGGATTGGTATGGATTGCAGTGCTCCAACCATCTGAAAGGTCACTCGGCAAACACAGCAGGAGTGACCTATTGTTCTTGCCATTGACAATCAGACTGCCGTTTTGACAAGTCTTTAAACTATCACAAATCTTTTCTTCAAGTATTACATGGAAATGTTTATCTTCACTTTGTGGCACAATTAAAAGCTTGCATCTTAGGAGTTCACTGAAGCAGTCTTAATATCTCCTTGGGTCACACTTGCAAAGACATGGAAGCCTGAGAATCTAATAGTGAATGGGTCACCCTTGACATCTGTCAACTACACCACCGAGTATAATCTTTTCAGTTCCATTTTCAGATCAGAAGGTGAAAAGAACTCAAGCTATTATCCCCAGTGTACATATATGTTGGACTACCTCCCTTTCTCACCAAAAGACCACTGTTTCAGTTGCAAAAATGAAGCTTTGCTGCTTCAAAAAATTGTAGTGAGTAAAAATTGATGGGTTGAAACTATGACCTACTGCTTTATGGAGGAAGAAGAAAAACATACAAAGATATTAGTATTGGAAAATAATTAAATAGCTCTCATTATATTTTGATATTTCATTTTGTGTGTACAAGTTAAAAGTGGACTCAGAAAACCCACCTAAATCATAATTTTAGGTTATAATCTTAAATGTGCTCATTGTTGCAAAAAAGATAGTTCACGTTTTAATTTGACTGACACTTAGACTGTTAGAAAGATATATTTCATGCCTACCTTTAGGTCCATCTTTCTCTCTATTTAAAATAGAGAACTTTAAAAAAACATATAGATCTAAACACAAAATATCCAAGATCAGTTGTGAAATCAATTTCCTGAGTCCTTACAGACTACAGTCACCTCTCAAACGAGAGTGATTTTAGACTGACATAGATAGATGATCTGACTAGGAATAGTTCCAGCCCCTTTACTTCACTATATGAATATAACATGCATGTACCGCTATATATAAAAGTGTAGCATGCACCTAAGCCATTTATTATAACTATTTATTTACTGCAATCAGCCAGTAAGATTTTTGGTACATTGGACATGAAAATTTCTCTTCTGTGCAGTGATAGTTAACAAATATCCCTTCCTCTACTCTCTCTCCCCCAAGAAAAAATACAATCACAGCAACATTCACAGAAACAAGTTCTTACTGAAACTCTCTGCTACACTGACCAATTGCTCTCTAAGGTCTCTTTATGTACTAAAGAAATGGTTGTGGGAAATACCAGTACATAACAGATCCCTCAGCTGCTGTAGAAAGTATTTCACTGTTCCTGCAGAGTGGACAAGTCCATTTTTAGCACATGGAATTTCCTGACCAGGTTTTCTTATTCTTATAAAATTCCAGAATATATATATTTTGGTCTGCAAAATATGGGACTTTGATTTTACTCTGACATTTCAGAAAGACCTATTCAAAACAAACAACTTCAACAACAAAACCAAAAATTAAGCCAGTATATTTTGGAGTTGAAATGCTGAGGTGGGATAAGTCACTGGCTAAGAACCTTGAGCCAAAATCTGTTTGCTGCAGATTGAATACAATATAATCTTGGTACAAAAGGAATTTTTCTTTAGTTCAACTCAATACACCAATTCTTTTTAACAATTAATTTATTCTAGATTAGAAGCTGAGAAAAAAAAGCATGAAGCTTATTCTCTTTTTCCTTATGGTGACTTTGGAGAAGATGACACCTAGCTGTACCCCAAATGGTAAGAACGTAGCAAGGAGTCACCAGTTGAGTTTTCTGATTACAGCTAGTTTGTGCTTTGCAAATGAGCCAGTTACCATTAAAAACTAAAATTGTGTTGACAGACTTACATTTTTTAATTCAAACCATTTGAAGTAGTTTCATCTAAATCACTGCAATTTTTTTCTCATAATTTCTGAGCATTTTTAACATCATTCGAATGTTTACCTAAAAGCATTTTGCCCAAAAGTTACCAAAATTTGAATAATCTATTATATAAGAAAAAGCTGAACAAATCTATGCTAAACTATATTTGTGTATATGGAGTTCCCTAGGACCTTTGGACAAATTACCTTCTTCAGCAAGTTTCACTGAATAATAACGGACACAATTGAGGGTAAACTCACAAGCAGAGGAGCAGCTAGGAAGAAAACCAGTTAAGATGAGACAGTGAAGAATCTACATGCTGTGAAGAATGAAAGTCAGAATTTGTCCCATTACATAGACCTGTGAAAGCTCTAAGTTTTTAGAGAATTTAATAAGTTTTGATGGTGAAGAGAGATGGTATTATTAAGATACCTTTGAAAATAAAGCCACCATCCAGACCGATGTTAGTTAAAAGGCCTGGGGGAAGGCGAACTGAGCTGGGGAAAAACTGGTTTCTACTGCTTCACATAGCATTTATAGGCAGGAACCAAGAGCTGTGGTTAAAATAGGGTATACCAAAAATTTCTGATAGACTGGTTTCAAAAATACAGAAGGAAACTCCTGAGTGGCCCCTTGACAAAAAGCAAACACAAACATCACAGAATCACAGAATCTTAGGAGTTGGAAGGGACCTCGAAAGATCATCCAGTCCAACCCCTGCCAGAGCAGGATCACCTAGACCAGGTCACACAGGAACGCATCCAGGTTGGTTTTGAATGTCTGCAGAGAAGGAGACTCCACAATCTTTTTGGGCAGCCTGGTCCAGTGCTCTGTAACCCTTACAGTAAAAAAGTTTTTTTCTCATGTTCAGTTAGAACCTCCTATGTTCCAGCTTGCTCCTATTGCCCCTTGTCCTGTCATTTGACATCAGATTGAAGAGCCTGGCTCCTTCCTCCTCACTCGTTACAAATTTATAAACATGAATGAGGTCACCCCTTAGTCTCCTCTTTTCCAAGCTAAAGAGACCCAGCTCCCTCAGCCGATCCTCATAAGGGAGATGCTCCACTTCCTCCATCATTTTTGTGGCTCTGCATTATAACATAACCTACCCAAAGGGCTAAGGTACAACCTAGACAAAAAAACCTGGAAAAGTCTGTAGTAATTAGCTTTCTCCTGGAGCACGTTCTTGAAAATAGCGAGCCTGCTACAGGAACCAGTCAATAGCGAGCCTGCTACAGGAACCAGTCAGTTCTGTTTTATGAATGTTACAGAAAAACAAAAGAAAAGTGTAATTGCAAAAGCAATTTTAAAACTGGTTAATTAAACCCAAAGCACTTGGTCATTAAATAATGATTAGCAGCGGTTATTGACACACAGACATGTTAACAGAAGTATGAGGGCCTCAAATCATTTAGGACTTACCTTAAAGTACTTCAAAACTTCAAAAAAGTCTTTTCTAAACTCTAGAGCAGGTTTCTTTAGAAAGTGAATAAAACTTAATATTAAAGTAGTAAAGATAAAACTCAGAATGAGACAAGATAGCAATGCAAGGATCTGTTAACGTAACTCTCATGCCCACTCTGTCCTCACAAGGTGAATCCTTTCCTTCAGCATCACTCATTCCAGTAACTAACTAACTTTTATTTTCTGCAGGGTAATCTCTTAGTCCTCATGAAATATATTCCTTCCATTCTCTCTGAGGTATGGGTGTTTGCTCCCCACTTTTTGAGAAGTCTCTGTCTCTGATGTTTCCAGACTGCCAAGCCTCAGCTATCAGTCTCCTCTCTTCTGCCTCCATACACCGTATAAAATCTCTTCCCCACAAAAGGGACCCTTTCTTTGAGAACCCATGCTTCTCACGTGTAGCCCCTGGGAGAAGGCAAACAAGAAGCTTCCCTCTGTTACCCAGCCACATGCAATTCAAAGCACACAGTGCTTTATCACAGCGTGGTAAAAACAAGAATTCTCCACAAACCTATTGCCTTCAATCCCATTAGTAAGTCTGAGACAGTCAAAAGAGTCAATCCATGATACAGAACTTTCAGTCTCAGTTTCTCTATAATGCTATGCAGAGGCTTGTAAACCCATCCTAGAAATTCTTAATTTCTCACAGAAGATGATTTGGGATTGCTAACCAAATACAACATTGTTCTCACAAGGGGGCAAATGATGTAAAAGTGCCCACTTGGTTCTAAACTCCCAAATGGTTCTATAATAAACTGTGTATCATCAGGAGGAAAAAAGCTTTCTTTTGAAAGTGTAGTATTAAATGTCAAATTCATTAGTGACATGACCTGAAATTATTACGTCTTTCTTTCTAAACTAGCTGCATATGTGATGTTTGGATTCCTATATGTGTTATTTTCAGATCAAAATGAAACCACTGAGAAAATATTGTGCTTTATTATTGTGTGTCATTTTTTGAAAGAATGACTCAGGCATTGATATTTAGGCTACTTTCAAGTCAAATATTTAAAGCCCACATCCTATCCATAAGCACACTTACTGACATATTGGAAGGTCACTGGAACATGAGAAGACAGAGAGAGGTCTAAGCAAAAGACCTACAAACAAAGTATCTTCCGCATTGGAGGAAAGGCAAGTGTAAGAAAATGGAACAGTTTCTTGTGTTTTCATCAAAGTACTGAACAGGTTCCAAACAGTTTTAGATGCATTAAAAATCTGGCCTGTGGCATTTCTCTCTGGTACATTCATATTTCATTAGGTGCGATGACTTTATGTTTTCTGCAGTTAAAAATGTCATTCAAATAGGCTGCTGTACTTACTCTTTCACTGTCACAATATAGCCATATTCTTTCTCCCCAGAAGATTTCACTTCAAGTTGTAAGCCTTGTCCCATATTTTTATGAGGCTCTTCATAGGAGTTTCCATCCTGCATTAAAGCATTCTTAATCCAGAAGCGGGTCTTGCTCGGGTCTGTGGAGTCAGATTCACTGTTCTCTGCAGCTGTCAGTTCCCTTGAGAAAGTCTCACTTTTTACATTTTCCACACCAGCATTTATTTCTTCTGAGGAAGTAGAGTCAGTGTCTTCAGACTTCTTGGTTTCTGTCTTAGTGGATTCTTCAGGTATGAGGTTTTTAGGCATATTTTCAGGTAATGCATTCTCATTCAAGAAGTTAATTAGTTTTGCAGTGTTCTCCTGTATTAAAATAATGTAATTATTATTTTTAAAGCTAAACTCATGAATGTTATAGTGAACCAACCTGGATATTATCTTTCAAACTCTTATTGATAGAGTAGGATCTATTCATACAAATGTCATATGGTTATTTTCTTAATTTCTATATGCTTCCAGACTATGTAATAACATAATGTTTATCCAGTAATAATAAAAGACCATTAAATTATGTCACTGTATTTTTCAATACTTTTAAGAAGGACAAAGTAATTCTATAGTTAATAGTTACTTTCTTCTTCAAATATCATAGACTCATAGAATGGTTTAGGTTGGAAGGGACCTTAAAGATCACCTAGTCCAACACCCCCAAAATCTGGACAGTCTTTTGTCTGTCTTGAACAGTGAGAAGAAAATGTGGATGGTATTTTCATAGTGTTCGTTTTCATGTGCCTGCATGTTTAAGTATTGATGAGAATAAAACTCTGTTATCAAATAAGTTAATGAAAAGGAGAAACAATTGCAATATCCATCAATATGCCTAAGTGTTATGACTGGAAACGTGCATACCTCTTGGGTCTCACAAATTATAACACAGCAAAGGGAACAGATATGTAACAAATTATATTTCACTTATTCATCTCTAGAAACTGTGACAAATAGTTTGGGAGTGATCCACTAAGCTAAACATATGATAACCAAAAAAATCTGTCTACTACATCAAAACAATAAGCAAATGTGCAAAAGTCAAAACATGCCTGGAACAATTCCTTAGATAGTCTCACTGTAAAAGTTTATTGCAGCCAAGCATTTGGGAGGAAATGATGGCTAATGGGCACTTTGTGCTCAGTGTCACATTATATTATTTTCTATCACATCCCTTATTCAAACTCTCACTAAGAAATTTATACAAGGGAACTTCTATATGTCCATTGTGAATGCAACACTTCATTCCTTGAAGAATTTCACACAGATGGTTAAAGCTCCTGCCACATCACTCACTTGTGTGTTTTCCTTGCTTGGTAGATGGGCAGCTACTGAAGGATTTGACTGAACACAAGAGGGTTTGCCCATTTGATACTCTTGCAGTGCTAGTCTTTGATAAAGAAGTTTTGCTGCAGTTTTAAAAAACACTTCTTCGAGATTTTTCTGCTCTATGCAACACAGAAAAAGATGAATAAACCTCAAAAATGGCTGAATACTGAACATAAGTCTGTAGGATATGATTCAAAGCTCATGAGGAATATTGTAAAAGTAATCTAGATTAAAATCCTGGATTTTATGTTACCACATAGGTTATGAGATGCAATGCCCAGAGCTTTTGAAATACCTCTGACACTCAATGATTTGAAGAATTAATGGTAAAGTGAAAAAGTGAAGAGTGACAGAGCTCATTAAAGGAGAGGGAATTTTGAACCTTCCACAAACATGTGCTCTCAGAGGCAATATGTTTACTCACCTGTATCTGAAAACCAGAGAGATTATCTGAGCAAGGATCCTTAAATTCCCCAGAACTGAGACAAGGGACAGCTGAAAGAAGGGTGTTTTCAAGAACACTTCAATACTCAAAATATACTAACCTCAGGAAAAGCTTGAATTTGTCTGAACTTTGGGATCTGCTATGAATTCTGTCTATTTATGAATGAAAGAAGGGCAAAACAGGACTTGATTTTGGTTTTTTGATTGTAAAACTCATTGTGGTTAAGGTTGAAATAAATGTTCATTTAATATATTAGTGCAACTACAACAATATGCCTATGCTGTTATATTGAATTATATCCACATGTGACAAAAAACAAGTCTTATGTTTCAGAAGCATGTTTTTGACTTCCACTGCATAAAAACCTTATACTCTGATATGGAATACGTTTTTGTTAAAATGCTGGTACTCTACCTCTTTATCAGTTCTTGCACTGGCTTCACGCCCTCCACTGCCTGTAGGATATGAAAAGCACATACACACAGTTATGAAGGGAAACCATCATACATGAAACAAACACCGCTTGCAGGCTGCTCTGTAGTGGTGGCCTTTTCATGCAATTTAAACATTAAGACATCAAAGCAGAAAGGGCAGAGTAAAGAGCACTGTATAATTCAGAATTGTTATTCTAACCCCACTTCGATAGCAAATTAATGCGAGATCAATAGACAGAGTACTTCAGGTGCCAATGTAATAGCATTATTACGCTAATTAAGTGTCCAATCTTCGTATCAGTTTATCAATATCTAAGAAAAAACCCACAATAAAATGGCTTTAGCTAGCTGAATGGAAATTTACATTACAGAAAAAGGAAACATACACATCCCTCGTACACATTTTGGTGGAAGATGACTTATTTCAATAGATACTGTCTACTAAAAGCATGTTACAGTTTAACTACAGTGATGATATGCAGTCACATCATTAACCTCACTCAAATAATGCTGGCTTTTTGGTTTATGAACGGAGTCTTATTCATCTTTCCCAGCATGAATCAGGACAGACCCTCAAGTCTGCTCATTTTAATCTACAAAAAGAATTGGCAATTAAAAAAACCCCAAAATATCCCCAGCTAGTAAGGATTTCAATATATCACAATGAAAAAAGACAGTAAGTTAAAATCACTGTTTATGATTTATAGCATATATGCTTTTGGTATCCAAGATATCATAACATTTGTAAAATAGAGAATGGGTAAGTGGTAAATTATGTCCCACTGTGGTATCATCTCATTAAGAGCAATTACTGTAGCTCCTGAACCTGCATCGCCAGGAAAGTATGTGTCCAGACAGAAGCAAATAATAATAATAACTTTTTTATTTCCCTTAGCAATTAGCAATCCTTTAGCAATCCTTAAAAATAATAACTTTTTTATTTTCCTTGGCAGGAAAGAGAATGAGTAGCCCTCTAGGTGTACCTAAGACTTTCTTCTGCAAGTAATTGTATTATCTGTAAAACACATTTTTCCCCACATATTTCAAAATACTTTCTTGGAATATAATCATTTTTCATTATTGTTTTGCTCAAACATCTGATTTTCTAGAAAGATAAATTAGACTACCCAGCATAAAGCAATTTGTATTTCAATATAATTGGGTGTGTAGGTTTATCTTGTTTATGAAGCTCGAAGACCAAGGGCTCACAAAAAGATGTATTTTCAATAAATATAGTATCTACTGTAAAAAGAAAGCAACAAAGCTAAAATTGTGCAGCCTTCAGAGAAAGATAAACTTTCCCTCTTGTTCTCTTTAATTCTCATTTTACAAAGTCTAGCACTATTTTGAAACAATAAAGGAAAATTAGGGTAGCTATCTTTTGCTGTACTTAACTCTTAGAATTAATACCTGATATGTTGCTGTTTTCCGATAATCCAGTCTGAATCTCTGCCCCTCCTTGAGCACCTTCTTTTCTCATTTGTGCTTCTGTTTTGTCTTCACCAGTTTTTCCAGCACCCTCCTCCATTTCTTCCTGAATGCCAGCTGTTTGAATTGCATCAGCAATGGTATCAGCGATCTCATCCAACTCTGTTGAGCTGAGATTCTCCACATTCACCTGGTGTTTCTCCAGGTCCTTCAATACATCTTTAATAAGTGTCTCTGGATCACAAAACGACATAAGCACAAGATTTAGCTGCATACAGGAAGCACATGTGCTTGCATCAGTAAGTATCTTTCACGTTTCCTAAAAGATAACTTTTCCTTCATGGAGAGCACCTGATTTAAAGAAGAGTGCATACACATTCATGAGGCCATCTTTACAGAAAACACAGTATTATAAATTGATGTTAGAGTTTATGACAATATGGATCCAAAAGAAAAGAGAACATACCTAAAACAGCCAGCTGATTAGAGCCTTGAACATGAGCTTCCCACAGTCCAGATGAGCTTCCTAACTATTAAAAGTTCCTGACTGCCTTAAGATCACTTGCTCACTTTCCTGCAATATTCTGGAAGCATTTTTTATTTGCTCAACTTCAGAACAGAAACCATATTTCTTTTCCCATGACTTAGAACCCCTGCTTTCTAGCCTTTATACATAAAGAATAATGCCATTCAGTTACTGTGATTTTCAAGCAATTAGGAAACATCTTACAAATAAATTAGATTTATGAAAATATCTCAAAAACACTTACATGCCTAGTAGGACTAATTTTTCAAAATTTAGACACTTAGATTCTTAAGTTTACTCAGTGCTAATGTTACTTACAGTCCTGAAAGTTTTTATTAACATACTTCAAAAGAGTGCTTAGAAATTAGTGCTGAAGTGCTGAGTGCTGAAGTTTTTAGCAAAATGCATAAAGAGGTGTTTCAAGCAAATTCCAGCAAATGGAACAGCATAAAAGCAGTTGTGTCACTGAGTGAAAGGTGTACAAACAATGTTCATTCATTTATGATAAAAAAGATTAGAAGTTCAAATTACAGGAATACAGCAGCAGATTGAAGTCAAAAGTAGCTCAAAATACTGATTTGAAAAATAAGCAACCTGAGGTTTCCACACTGAAAGCAAGTTTTGAGTCTCAGAAAAATAATTTGCATCTGCATTTGCCTGTTAAATTTTATCTGAGCTAGTCACTACTGGCCATTACATCAACATTTGAAGACAAATAACAGCCTGGTGAAATGGAGGTCCACATGGAGTCTTACAAACTTCCATGAGTTTTTTTATGGATGTTTCCACCTCTTACTATGACATTTGTCCATGTTTGTATATAATTTGCATATTATTGGATAAGGCTGACATGCAAATGGATGTCAGTGCATCTATTTACAAACACCTATGGATAAATTAAATAAATAATTATAACTTTATTAAAATCAAAAAATATTGTTGGAGAAAGATGGAAAAGCAGGTGGATACTGCAATGGTCCATCACTTATGCAGCACATGTGCTCAAACATTGCGCAGGTACCGATGCACACAATGTTTCACAGGGCTTGAACGAGATTTCTCCTTTAGCTCTGGCTGCCTAACAGAAGAAGGAAAGTTGCCTTGCATAGTTGTCATGATGACAGAAAAGGCACATCTATATCTCAGATGATGTAATTTTTTAATATCAGCTTCACCAGCAGAATTTCCCTAGTGTGTCACAACAGCAGCCTAGTAAGGGAAACCAGCTTTTTATAGTACGGGATATAAATCATGCTCCATAAAGACACAACTGCCAAAGCCAGCTTGCCTAACAACTGAATGGCATGGCAGCAGTAACTTTGCTAGCAGTCCCACAGAGTGGTCTGTCTCCTACCCCACCACCCTACTGACCACATATTAGCTGTCCTCAGCAGATGAGAGCCATACAGATTGGTGACCACAGCTTTGCAAGATGGAGAATGTAGAAAAATACCTTGGCTCAAAAATACCTTGGCTCTATAAATACAGAAGTTGGTAATTTTTGAAAAAAAGACATCTGAATTACTAATTTTGTGACCTTTCCAAAGCAATGGAGAGATGTGTTCTGTAATATCTAGTACACAAAAAAATGACAACAACAAATCACTTAAAACTGAGTCAAATTCTAAGTACAAATTCTAATGTGCAAAGACACATTAATGATTCCACCATTGCACAGTGACTACAAAGGCAGTACCCATGCACATCATGCTACTCCTAGAGGCAATAGTTTCCAAATCTGATAGAAAGACAGCTCCACATTTCCTTCCCTTGTATTTCTCCCTCAGGGTGCCTTGTTAGCTAATTTACCTGCCACTGTTTTGCAGCAATTCTCAGTGCTAGGCTGCTAAGTACCTTCTGGATTGTTCTCCCAGTCAAGGTCCCTTGTCTAATACTGTATCAAATGCAGCAGAGAATTGAGCTCATGTGGCTGCACCCCCATTCTTTCCAGTTTTTGAACAGTTCTGTGGTTCAGAGAGTGAGAAAGAGAAACAACTTGCAAGTGTAAAAAAATCCTGAAGCATCACAGAGACTGGAGAAAGGTTAAAAGCAGAAAGAGATCATGCAATCAGTCTGGCAAATCTGAATCCAAACCACCATCATTCCAATGGACAGCATTTTAAACAATGAATATGCTGAGGTCTGTCCCCACCACTTCCTTATGAGACTGTTAAGTGGCTCAAAAGTACAAAGAAAACCATATTACTGCCTACTCAAACAATTCATAACTTTATGTCTATGTAACATTTAAAAACTAATGCAATGGAAGAAGTTCCTACAGGGCACATGGCATATGTGAACTCAAAGTAGTAGAACCCAATGAATTCTGAAACATGTTATTCCCTCTAAGTGTTAAGCATTTTTTTCACAGTTGGCTCCTACCAGGAAAGGTGAAGTGGAACAGCTGGAGGATAATGAAACCAGCATGTGCCCAGTTTGTTTTGAGTCTAGCAACAAAATTGTCTAACCTGTGCAAGAGACTTACAGTGACACCTGGATTTGATTTTACATTATAGCTCATTCCTTGAAACCTATTATCTCTGGGCACCATACCAAGAATGCTTTCACTTCTGAACATCCTTTAAATTGCAAGCATTATCTTTCCTCTGCTGCAACTTTGACATATCTGTGTGTTCTGTTAAAAAAACCACAAACAACAAAAACAAAACAAAAAAAATCCACCCAAAACCCCAAACAAATAAACCAAATCAAAGAATGGTAAACTTTATGGATGATAGAAACTGCAGAAGGGATTCAAAGGAACCCTCTTACATATCACCAAAATCCATTGGGATAGTGGTGACTACCGTGTAAAACAGGTAAAGACTTGGCAATGGCTGAGGATCAAATCTTTCACTTTTCAGGCATTCTGTACTGCTGGAATAACACCATAATTAGTTTAGTTTAGAAAATCAACAAAGTGAGTGAGAATACTTTTCTAAACTCCACATGATCCCAAGTCACGAAGTGAAGACCCATCTTGTCTTTCAAAGCAGTGCTTAAAACGCATCATAGTACCCTGTGAGATGTTACACTCCATATTCATTTAAGTATTTGTCAAACTATTGCATAAAAAAGGAGTCAGGATCTGGTCACAGTTAAGCAGTATTAACAAAAAACAGATGAAAATGCTGCAAATAGGTTGTTTGCTATAGAATGTCCAGCCAGAAGTAGCTGCAACCTCACCTTCTGGTATTGCTCTCTGTCCACCCATCCACATAATGTACAGATTCTTCCCCTTTCTGTGCTCTGCACCAGAATTTATCTCAGTGCTAATTTGTGTCTCTGACTCTGAATTTTACCCATTAATTTAATTTCCAGCTAAATTCAGAGCATTAAATGGAACAAACCCAGGCATTTCTATATTACCTTTATGAATTGGCAGATGCATGCATAAAAACAGATTTGACAGCAAACTCATAATTACGTGTTGTTTGTAAAATGCTTTGAAAATATACCAAGTTACATAAATGTTACATCTTACTGAGTGCCATATATTTCTGCATGCATATGGAAGGTGGGTTGAAGAATGTGGGTAGATGTTTGCAGGGA